ACCTGTTCCTAGTAGCGTGGCACTTGTTTCTACTAGCTTCTTGTTACGGTGCGACTTTTGAGGTACTTGTGGCAGAATTTTGTTTACTTCGTAGCTGCCATTGCCTACGTTGCTGCGGTTGCTGCTTGCGGGCGCTCACCACCGAAGGCATTGAAATGCTTCCACGCATAAGTGAAATGGTAGCAGGTCCGCTGTACAAGCTGGCCAGGTGGGGAATGCTGCCCTCCCACCCCAGACAGGTGAGTTTGTGACATGCCTCTTGCATTGAGCTCAGCTAACTGCCTGGTTATTGCCGTAGCCGTAGACATGCAGTTTCATAGACATGTGACATGGTTTTGGATGCCTGAGGCTCGATGTAGTCGCATCGGTTGCTTTGGTGCGCACTTCCTTGGTGTGTTGAAGCTTTGACCTTCAGAAGCTCTCAAGGAGAAACCTTCAAAGAATGCATATGACTCACGTGATGCAATTAGTACACCTTTTGCTTTTGTTTTGTCTCACTTTCACAAGGTGGTTTTGTTCGTTTCTGATGATTGGTCGACTTGTTGGCTCCAGCGAAGCTTTGGAAAGCGGGGTGAGCCTTGTGAAGCCAGCAGCCTAGTTTGAGCTTGGTGGGTTGAACTGAAAGTCTTGTATACCTTGAAGCGTCGGTGCTGATTTAGGCAGGTGCTGAGTAGGTCATCGGTATGTAGAACCAATCCTCAATGCTTGAAGCTCATAGATTTTTTGAAGACATGTTCTCAGAGGTGCTTTTCATGTCCGGGTCGTGCGCTTCAATAAGGTGTCATGTAAAACAGTCCGTGTGCTTAGGCCCGGGCTCATTCTCGCCATGGGTGAGCATCATGAGCCCCTGCTTTCCTTGCCTTTGACTTAAGAATTGGATTTGAAGCATTCTTGAAGAGTGTTTGGATTTGAAGCATTCTTCAGACGGAACCGTCTGCATATTATGTGAAGCATAGGCACCGGGTGGAACCTTGTGCTAAAGCCAAAAGGTGTGGAGATGCTGTGATGCTGCGATGTGACACAGAGATTGCCTGAACAGGCCAGTCCAGACTCCTCTCCAAGCCATTGCATCTTATTTGGATGCCATGCCCTTGGAACCTCCTTGGAACGGAGTAGGTTCCATGTCATTGTTCACACAGGTTCACACAGGTTTCCAATCAATGGAGTACACATTGCACCTGGGTAAGCAAGTGACCTTTTGAGGTTGCTTTCACAGTGACGGAAAGAGGCAGTAGTGTCAGTTGGAAGCTTACTTTAGACCGGCAACAAGAAAAGCGTGCCAATGTTTTTGATGAGGCCAAGAAATCCGAGCAGGCTTAGTTACTTGGGCAGGTCTCCTAGGTCCTCCGAATCGTGTTTGAATACGTGCATCTTCTCTTGCCTTTCTTCTCTACTACTTTGAACCAAGAGACTGAGGTGACGATGAGTTATATCGTTGTTGTGAATCCCATCATTCTCAGTGCCAAATTTGCAGATGGGAGCCACTTGGGTAGAAGATGAGCCAAAAAACATACATCTCCCGAATTGGATCTGGAAGTTCAAAGAATTGCAATGACGAGCTGGAAGTGGCTGAACAAATTCGCTTTTCGAGGCTCTCCAATCTCCTTCCATGCAGCTTGCAGAGCCACATGCTTGCCTTCTGCTCAAGACAATTCAATAGCCAAAAGCCTTCCTGCCTTCTTTCCACAGCAGTACATGCCCTTAACCATCGAGGTCAGCAGCCTTCGCATCCGGATTTGTAGGACCAATCGTGTTATCAGAATCAGAAGGGAGCAGCTGCTGGTGGTTTGTATCGTACAACCGCACCGTGTGTGTTTATGTGTTTGGTGGGCTGCGTGGTTGGAGCGGATGAGATTTTTCAGGACTTGCAGCAAACCTGCCTTTTGGACTGGCAGCTGGCATGGGGCTGTGTCACCGTCATGTTTAGGTCACCTCAGTCAGCTCTAAACGAATTGACATGACTTTCATGGAGTGAACAAGGGACCTGCACCTGGGGACGGGTCAAGTGCCATCCGTGACTGCCAGGAACTCATACTTGCGGTATGGCATCATCGACAGACTTGGCCTTGGGCCTGAGGGGGCCTTGGCGGCTTGCTTTATTCAGGCACGATGCGATCGATGTGGTGCAATAAGCGTTCCCATAAGGAGAATCAAGGGTAGTCAAAGCATGTTAAAGGATCCAAATGGGATTACATGACTTCAAAGTAGGCAGTTCGTGCCAGACAAGTTTGTGCTTTGAAGTTTTCGACGGCTTGAATCGCTGGTCCATGCAGGCAGTTCTCTTTGCTCTTCTTGCAGCCAGTGGAGCTGTTGACCGCGTCTGCTGCCTAGTGTGCTGCAAACAGGCTCTTACTTTGTTGGCCACAGGCCCCGTACTGATAACTATAACATACGGATGGATTTGGGAAGTGGTCCTGTGTCAACTTTCCCTGCTGATGAGCTGTATGCATGATTCACCTGAAATCTTTGATAGCTCGACCTGCATGTTTGATATTGTAGTCCCGTTTGCAGTTCCCTCACAGTTGTTTGCCTTTGTAATTTACATTTGCTGAGTTATATAAAACTATATATATATAGAGAACTATATATATATATTTCCGAATGACATCACTGGTCTTTTGCTGGTGGCTCAGGTGCAAGGAGCTTTGCCTTCTGCTTTGAAGTCATCAATCACCGTAGCCATTGGTGTGTTTCAGGCCCTGAAGGGTGAGCGAGAGCTAGATAGGCCAATTGCTCCACTGACAAACTCAACCTTTGAAGAGCAAGACCTTGAGGATTCGGTGCAAGTGGTATTGACGAAAAGAGAGATAGAAGAGAGGAGACAAGTCTAAGTACAGATTGACAGATCCTGGGCACACTAGGAGCAAGGACGCTACTAGGGGCTCCTGGCATCGCTACTAGGAGCAAGGACGCTACTAGGGGCTCCTGGCC